CGTAATATTATTATCGAACTTAAATCGAGTTCGGAAATGAGCAATATCGGTCCACTCCTTCTGGTAATTCCCCACAAAAGGCAAAAATGTTCACAGAAAATAATTTACCTTATGGAACAAGAAAAGATCATTAAATTTTGTGCAAACTTAGCAAATCCTAATATTTGGTCAGATGCAAAAATGGACAATATTGACCCACTCCATCAAGTACTTCCCCATAAAGGGTCAAAATTTTGAAAATGTATAACTCGTATAAAATGTGGAATAAGTATCTGATTGTGTTTATATTTCGCACATCTCATTATTATTACCCTCACAAAATCTGGGATGAAGAACGGATAGAACAGGTCACTCCTTTAGGTACCTTCCTCACAACGGGTCAAAATTTTGAATAACCTTGAATATCATAAACCGCGAAATAAGCTTCCAATTACTGTTAAACTCATCACATTCCAACATTTGATGAACTGTGAAGATGAAATATATCAGGCTACACCTTCAGGTACCATCCCACAACTGGTCAACATTTTTGTATAAATATAGCTCTCATAAATTATTAAATCAATATTCTATTCTCCTCAAATTGCACATATCCAAATTTTTCAAGCAACACAAGATTTGGTGTGAAGAAGGAATATATGGACCCAATCCTTCTGGTACGTCCCCCAGAAAGGGTTAAAATTTTGAATAACTGAAATGCTCATAAAATTCGAAATTACCATCCGATTCTTTCTAAACAGTAGACATTTTAATATTTCTACTATTACAAGAACTTGTGTGAAGGTGACAGATATTGGCTCACCTCTTCAGGTACCCCCACCGAAGAGTCTTACAATTTTCCACAGTTATATCTCTCATAATTTGCGAAACAAACTTGTTATATCTGAATGTTTCTCTCAACCAGAGACCTGATGTGAATATGGAATTTATCTCGTACCTCCTTAATAATATCAGACCTAATGAACAGAATCTTGGCTAAATTCATCCTAGAAACATGTGCTTCAAATTTGGTGAAAATCGGTTCAGATAAAGCTCCCATATATGTGTTTCATCCGATTTGGGGTTTTCAGCCCTTCAAGTGCGTAATATGCTCTCCACAGCAATGATCTTTGGTACCAGATATTAGATGCAGCTCAGAAATAAGTGCCTAAAATTTTGTCAAGATCGAATCAGATTTGGATATAGCTCTTATATAAATCTATATCCGTTATTTGGTTTATTGTACACCAAATTGCTAATATCAGCCCAAATTAACTGAATCTTGTCAATTCCGACTATATTCAACCTAGAAACAAGCGCTTCAAATCTTGGTGAAAATCGGTTCAGATATAGTTACAGCTCCCATATACAGGGTGAGAAAAGAAAACTGCGGCAAAGTCAAATGACATAATTTTTACTTTTTTTTCTCAATTTTATTGAATGAAAGCAAAATATGTCGGAAATAGCAACAAATTTTAGAATAAGTCTAGATTTGTTCGAATTGGTCACCTTTGGCACGAATTATGGTCTTCAAACAGCCAATGAAACCGTCACACGCTGCCCGAATGTTGCTCTGCGATATTTTGGCCCATTCCCGGCGAAGCGCTTGCTTGAGGTGATCGACACTTTGGTATTTTTAATGCCAACCTTGCTTTTACAAAATACTCCAGACACAATAGTCCAACGAATTGGTATCCGGAGAATTTGGTGGCCATTGTGCGCTGGAAATGTTTGCCAAAACAAGGAGCACATTTTCAGCTGACCTCTTTGGCAATTAAACACGATCATTTTGTTTGTTTACAAACTGCTGGACAACGAATGTTTTCTAATCGGCTCATCGGAGAAAACCAAATTCGGCAGGCCGCCAAAATCTCCGGATACCAATCCGTTGGCCTATTGTGTCTAGAGTATTTTGGAAAGCAAGGTTGACACTAAAAAATACCAAAGTGTCGATCACCTCAAGCAAGTGCTTTGCCGGGAATGAGCCAAAGTACTGCAGAGCAACATTTGTCTGGTATCTCTCGCACATTTCAAAATGTTCCTAAATTTCAAAATGATCACATATCTATATCTATAAAAGAGGAAAATGTTTGTCTGTTTGTTTGTTTGTTTGTAATTTATGGACTCGAAAACCGCTGAACAGATTTTCCTGAAAATTTCCATATATACTGCAACATCGCCTGAAAGTAACATAGGCTATATACATTTTTGAATGTCCACTTGGAACTGGAGATATAGCATCAGAATCGGAGGTACCTCCCAAAAATTTAGATTTTATATGCACATATCTATTGATTGGTTGAAGATACAGTTTCCAAATTTGGAAAACGTAACGGAATTTGGAACAAAAATAAGTTTGCAAATTATATTGTAATCGGTTCAGATTTGGATATAGCTCCCATATATATTTTCGACCGATTTCGTTCATTTGATGCCTCAAACACAAAATGAATGTTCGATTGCAATGAAATTTGGAATGTGTGACGGGATTTAATCCGAAAATAAATTTGTCAAATTATATTGAAATCGGTTCAGATTTGGATATAGCTCCCATATATATTTTCGGCCGATTTCAAGCATTTGATGTACCAAACACACTATGTATCCCCAATTTCAATGAAATTTGAAACGTGTGATATATTTTATCTAAAAAATTGATTTCCCAAATTATATTGAAATCGGTTCAGATTTGGATATAGCTCCCATATACATTTTCGGCCGATTTCATGTATTTGGTGGACCAAACACGATATGTATTTCCAATTGTAATGAAATTTAAAATAAGTAACGGAATTGGGAGCCAAAATGAATTTGTCAAATTAAATTGAAATCGGTTCGGATATAGCTCCCATATATATTTTCGACCGATTTCATGTATTTGATGCACCAAACACGCTATGTATCTCTAATTTAAATGAAATTTGGAATGTGTAGCGGAAATTAAAACAAATATACATTTGTCAAATTATATTAAAATCGGTTCAGATTTGGATATAGCTCTCATATATATTTTCGACCGATTTCATGTATTTTATGCACCATATACGATATGTATGTTCGATTCCAAAGAAATTTTGGAATATGTAACGGGATTTTGATTAGAAAATAAATTTGTCAAATTATATTGAAATCGGTTCAGATTTGGATATAGCTCCCATATATATTTTCGGCCGATTTCACATATTTGATGCACAAAACACGATACGTATTTCCGATTCCAATGAAATTCGGCATGAGTGGCGAAATTTGGTACAAAAATAAATTTGACAAATTATATTCAAATTTGATTATAGCTCCCATATATATACTCAGCCGATTTCACATATTTGATGCTCCCAAAGCGAGAGAGACAAAATCTGGCACCAGAAAAAATTGCCAAATTATATTGAAATCAGTTGAGGTTTGGATATAGCTAACATATATATTTCGGCCGATTTCATACATGTTATGCACCAAACATGATATATATGACCGATACCAATGAAATTCAGAATGTGTGGCGGAATTTGGTTACAATAATAAATGTGACAAATTAATTGGAAATTAGTTAAGATTTGGATATAGCTCCCATATATATATTATCGGCCGATTTCACATATTTGACGCACCAATTTCAATGAAATATGAAACGTGTGGCGGAGTTTGGTGTAAAAGTGTTTTTTTTTTTAAATTATATTTAAATCGGATCCGATTGGGATATGATTTTAATAAGAACCATTGACCCACAACGCCTTAGGCTAACACTAAAAAACAACACAACAATTGATTTGAAATACGCTTATTACGGCGAAGTATGTTGCTATCTCGAATTCACTAATTGCAATGGAAATGCCACTCAACTTCAAAAGATTGCAGTTTACTGCACGCTTGGTATTTGCTATGAAATAAATAAATCCGAAGGACAAACCCTTCGTGTATTTATGTCATGTTACTGCTTTTCTAATGGTTTTGGTTATTTAAGCATTAAAGTAGTGGAATAATTTTTAAATTTGTTTTTTTTTTTAACCAACGTATATTCGTAAATAAAATTTTGAATGCATATAAAATCAAAAGGGGTAGCGAAGCGCACCGGGTTCAGCTAGTTTCATATAAAGTGAAGGAAGTAGTCGAATATAATATAACAAGTTTGAATTTAGGCCCAAAAATGCCGCACATTTTTACTTGCAAACAAAAGACTTAAGACACGAACTCATGTTATAGCTACGAATTTTGAATTCTTCCAGCTTACTCTTCCCAAATAACAATGAAACACATTTCAATTTATTTATTATTTTTATGTGTATTTTTCTTTATGATTCAATATAATATTGTATAATTTTGTTGTTTGTTTCTGTGGTTGCCTGACGATTCGAGTTGCATTCATCACTTGCTTTTTTTATCGATTTTATTATAACTGATATATTGCGTATGTATTTATTTTTCTTTTCTTTTCATCGAGTGATGCTGCCTTGACTTCTTCGTAATCATTTTTTTAAGAGGGTAACTAATTTAAGATTTTTCTTTTTGTTTTTTTTTTACTTTTTTATGTTTATATCATCACTAAGTTGTTACATATCGCAAGTAGATTTTTTTTTTTGTTTGTTTAAATTTATCCGTGATACCAAATGTATTTCTTTTTTTTCATTTGGTTTTCCTTTTCTGCTGCATTTAGATTATGTATATTTTTTACAATTAAAAAAAGATTATTGTTTGTTTATGTTTTTTTTTCTTTAAATACCATTTCTACACAGACAAAAAAATATTCGTAAATATTTTTTTTATTATTAATATTATTAAGTTTTTTTTTTGTATTTAGTAGGAAACATAAATTTGTAGATATGAAAATGTAGCCATACTGTGAGTTAAAATTAAAATGTTAAGCTTAAAATTATATGGAAATATTCTATGTATTATAGTAATAATTCGTTTTATATATTTACAATTTTAATATGTTTCATATAAATTATAATACAGTAGTTCTTATTTATTGTTTTTGTGTGTGTGGGTGTATTTGTAAGTATACGCTTTTTTAACATTTTGTGGGGTTTTTTATGTTTTGCTGGTTTCTTCTGTTTCCGAATAAAAAAAATTTCTTTTGCTATTTGTTAAAATATATTTCTTTTTTTCCAATGTCACCTTTCTACCATTACTAACTATTTTCAATTATTTTTTGTTATTCAATGTAAAATCAGTTTTTGTTTTATTTCTTTTCTGCTGTGAAATATATATATTTTTTTGTTGTTGTTTTGTTTGTTCTATTTTCAGTTTTATTGTGCTGCACTGTTATATTTTGAGTTCATTTTTCGATCATTTGTAAAAATACCAATTTTTTTTTTGTTTGATTTACTAAATTTCCTTTGTAATACACAGATTGGATATAATACAAATTTCTAAACAAATAAGGATAATTGAAATAAAATAAAAACAATAAAAATACCAAATTCAATGTTTGTGTGTTTCAATAATTGAAATTCGGATCAGCTTGATAACGTGAATTGGAACTACTCTCGAAGGATCTGGTACAAGAGATACATGTTGGCGCCACATATTTCAAAACGTATAAATTCAACACAGACAGAGGGGCGAAAGTGTTTTTACGCTAATCGACATAGGATTTTGGGTTTATTTTAATTAAAAGTATGTACCGCTTTACCTAAAAAATTTTCGTATTTTCTCAACTATAAAACCTCTACATTTGTATAGATACGTCTACAAAATATACGCTTTAAAATCTTTAAATAACATTATTGATGCGTCTTGATTTTTTTTTAAATTATCGCTTTAAAAAAATATGTACTTAATGTGTTCTTTTAGATTTTTAAATTGCTTCAGAATTAACAAGGACTGCTTTCAGCATGTACTAATAGAAATTTCTCCAAGCTCTTGTTGTTGTAGATGTGACCACTTGTTGTTGTAGATAAAGGTATACGTTTTCAAACCATACCTATATTTCCTATATCGGGTAAGTGGATCCGGGAAATCAGTTTCCCGGAATTTGGGTAAAAACAATTACCTCTGGAAAAAAACTTCGAAAATATCGAGTTTTTAATAAACTGGAGGTTTTAGCGCTAGTGTTGGAAATGGCTTCAATATTTCCAAATTGTTTTGCTGTTGTTATTTTCATGGTCAAATATCAAATACAAAATGGTTAAAATATCAACATCGACTAAAAAATACAATGTCGTCACAATTTTTTACGGTGACAGATATTCTCTAAAAAAGACTTCACGTCGACTGTTGTATCGACAATGATAATAGCAATCATTCATCGCTATCGACAAAAAACGACAACCTTAATACCGTTATTATCGCCTCGACTTCATTTTGTGACGACGACGACAACAGTAATAGGCCGAATATTTTATTTAACATGGAATTTCTTTTAATTTGGTTTTATCATTAGTAAGTAAAAATGTATTTTTTTTTTAAATCCCGTCAAGTTTTGACTGGCAAATAGTGTAGATTTCAACAAATTAATTCTTATTTATATTTTTTTCCTAGATCTACCATGCGATAAAGAAAACATTTTTAAATAAAAGTATCTGGCTGTAATATTGGAACGAATTTCATTTTAAATTGCAAATGTCAGAGAAATCTTCAAAATGTTATGGGCGTTACACCAAAACGTGAACAATTATCCAGCTACAGGTGTTGGTATCTATTCTGAGTTTCAAATTCCAAAATCATCTATATGCCGTTATATGGGAAACGTGGACTAGTAAGGACGTAGTTCAGACACCGGTGAAACTACAAACACTGGATTTTAAAAAAATCGATAGAAAATGTGGACCCTAGGAAAAAATAGAAGTATATAGACAATGTTAACCACAAAAAGGTAGAACCGATTACAAACTCTAAATACCAATTTTCAAACTTTCATGAAAAAAGTTCGTTATTTTCAATACCACTCATCGTAAATACAGTGCGAAATTTTGTGTCTCATTGGCATAAATAAGTGTAGTCGATGTTTTGTTTTTCTTCTAGAGGTAGCACTTTTTTCAAATTTGGGCGATTTTCAACCTCTTCACAGATTTAAAAGAGCATTTCGAACATTATAGTGATTTTTGAAATATTATCTTTTTGGCAACACTGGTTAAACAGCTCACGCACGTTTCGTGTTTTGTTTCACTGTCGAATATCTTTAGTTTCCTTCTTCTTCCATTTTAAGATCAGCTCATTTTAACATCAACGGGTACGTAAATAAGCAGAATTGTCCAGAAAGTCACTGTTTTGTGCGGTACCTTCAATTTAAATCAAGATTACATGTATCATTTTGAATTTTGTATATTTTATTTTTAAATAAAACTTTATCTTAAAAAACGACTTTTAATGTTGGATTTCCAATAAAAAATTGACATTTTCCAAACAAAATTACCATTTTTCGCCATAGTACCGGTAGTACCCATTAGGAACTCTTAATACGAAATTTTAAATAATTCCAGTGAATAATGTCCCTAAAATCATCAAAATGCCGAATATCGGGAGTACCGTTGTATGGGGGCTAAACGATATAGTGGAGCTATATAGACATTTCTCTTTTAAGGAGGTAAAGTACTTAGAAAGAACTTCTTTCGTGGATTTTCAGACATTTCCTTTGAAAAATTTGGCTACCATTTTTACAACAGATCTTGTGCTGATAGATTCACCAAGTCTGAATGGAATCGGATGTTAATGTCGCGTTTTATGAGCTTAATGGATATTCAAAATGTTGACCCTTTGTGGCGGAGTTACCAGAAGGAATGGTTCGATCTCTACCATCTTCATAACAGATCTTATGTTGATAGAAATATTGAGATGTACCAAGTCTGAATGTAATCGGATGTTAATTTCGCGTTTTATAAGCTTCATGGATATTCAAAATGTTCATCCATTGTGGGGGAGGTACTAGAAGGAGTGGTCGTACCAGACCTTAGATTATTAAAAATATTGTGATGTGTGCAATTTGAAGACAATCGGACTCTTACATGAGATTTTATAAGATTAAAAATTATTAAAAATGGTGACACTGTGTGGTGAGTGGAGTGGACCGATATTGTCCATTTTCTCACCTGATGCAAATATGGGCAAAATATGCAAATATAGGATTTAAAAAGTTGGAACCAAATCGGATTATCCTTTCTCTTTCTGTGCAGCAAAATAATTTGTTACCAGAAGGAATGGACAAATATTACCCATCAATCCTAGTTTGATAACAATAATACGATGTACCAAGTTTTGACCAAATCGGATACTCCCGACGGACATCGACGTTGACTCCAAATGTCCCGAAACGGATTTGGTCCAAAGAGACCTAGGGTCTAAAACCCTTATTTCGATGAGGCACGTTTTGGCCGCATCAAATGATACATACTGTCTGTAGCCATATGGCTGAGGGTATAATGGACAAATTTAGCTTTTGCCGAAATGCACTTAAATTTTTCTTATAATTTTACTGAACTACAAACAATCTGGGATGCGCAAAAGGCCAAGGCGATTTAATAATATTTCGGGTAGTAAAGGTTTTTCAATACTCTGACTAAACTTTTATGGGGCCTTTATATAGCCCTAACTGAAGTAAAGGGGACCCCAATTTTAAATATAGAGCCTTGACATATTTATTACGTTTTAGACATATTTGTTATTTGTTACCTTTTAGACATATTTGTGACTACTGCCGGCATTTGAAAAGAAAAATGCTGTTCTCCTTTCCAATTAAACGTGGAGACAAAATTCCCAGTTTTGCTTCTTTCTTCTTCCCAAATAGGCTGGATCAATGCAATATATGTTTCTTTTCCAAACTTTTGAATTTTCAATTTGTATTGAAAATACTTTTAATAATATTTCTTCATAAGCGTTGAAGAGCTTTTGGTAATATTCTTCGTATTTCATTTGAAACTTCACACTAGGAAATATTTTGAATTACAAGCTACAAGTTAAAGCGCCTTTATATCTGTCAAAAAATTGTCAAAGAAATAAACCCAAATAAACCTATTAAACGCCAAATATGTTTATATTTAGACACTCAATGTGAATTGAAAAAAACATTGTTCTGTTTTTGTTTTAAAATATGTGTATTATATTTATAAAAGTAGGATTTTATATTAACATTTAAATTTGTTTAAAACTTATAAATAACTAAATAAAAAAACGATACAAAAGTATTTATTTATATATAGTTTTGAAGATGTATCGAGTAGAGCATTCATTTTTAAAGAAAAAAAAATATAAAATAGAGAAGGAAAATAAATTAAATAAAAACATACATTACCGAAACAATACAATTAATGATTTTTTTGTTTTCGAAAAGGAATTCATTTGAGAGGGCGAGAGAGACAAGCTGCCAGGAAAAGTTAAAATTAATTGGTGATATATTTATATACTTTTAATGTATAGTTAATTATATATAATTTTGTTTTAATGTTTGTGAATCTTACAACTTAAATACTGGTACTGTATGTATAGTAAAAATGGTTGTAGTTATTTGTTTGTTTCTGTGTTTTTTGTTTGTTATAGCAATAATGATAATAACTATAGGTAATAATGCAACTATATATAATATTTAATTTTTTCATATATATATTTATATATAAATATATATGTATGGGTGTATATACTGTGTGTGTTTTGATGTGCTCTTATGATGCATTGTTTTGTGTTTTCGTTTTTTGTATTTTTCGTATATGCTTTTCATTTGTTTGTGTTTTGGGCTTTAAAAAATAATATTTATTTTGTGTTTTTTTTTTTGTTTTTCATTTTTCTTATTTGATACACATTTTTGTTGTTGTTCATTGTTTTTGTTTTGTTATCTTTTTTAATTTTTAAGAATGTAAGTTTTTTGTGTGTGTGTTTTTGTTTCTTTGTGTAACTAAAACCTAAGTACAACAAATACAAATATTTATAAATTACAAAGTACATTTCCTTATTTATTAGGTTTTCGATTTTATTTTGCATTTTTTTAATTGGGATTACTTGTTTACTTTATTATATACTTTCTTTATAATACGATTTTTGTTCTGTTATTTCTTTTGTTCTTCTATTACAATAAGCCTTTCCTTTTTAAAGAAAAACTAATTGTTTTTCATTCATTGTTTTATATTTTATGTTTTTTTTTTTTTGTTTTTAATATATCTAATATGTAAAAAAAGAAAATACTGTTTAGTTAGTTTATTTTTTTTAAATATTTTACTTTTGCGAAAAAATACAAAAAAAATTAATACAAAATAGTTGTGTAGTAGGTTAATGTAAAATAAATTCTTAAAATGACAAACTTAAAACAAAATAATTTAAGTTAAAATATATTAAAATACATATATATTTTGCTTTTGTTGTTGTTGTTGTTGCAATGAGTATACTTTTTTTTAAACTGAAACAAAATTTCAGTGTAGATATATTTTTTTAAATTTGTGTTGAAAATGTATGAAAAATAATTGAAAATGCGTTTTGTTCTTTTATATTCATTTGCTGGCGATTTTGTACGCTGGGATATAAAAAAATTACAATTATTAAAGAAAAAGAGGAAACTTTGAAGCTTTCCCATATTATTTTTAAAACAAATGCTAAATGCTGTGAGGAACAAAACAAAGATAGAGAAAAGTAGGAAATTTTGAAATATTTTTCGGTGCGAAGAATGTAAAACATTTGGTTGCTCCTTAATTTATTGATTCCATTCGGCCCAAGGAAACCCGAAGCAATCTGTACTGGACACATGCAAGATAATTTGTTCAAATTTAGGTATTATAGCTATATTTTAGATTTTATTCCTCAAGATATGTTAAAGTTCATAGACCATACATAATCGAAGGTCGTTACTAGACCCCGGTTGTGTCATCGACTTGAAACTACTCAAGTTCTTCTCGACAATTGAATGTCATTTTAACCCATATTTTTACAAAAAACGTCGAGTATATTTGAATTGCACAGAAAATTTGTAATTTTATGAGTATATCTATATACCAACTAAAAATTGGGTCTATATTTTTCTGAGCTAAATTTAAATTGACATTAAATAAATTGTATATTAAAATGTTGTCTTTAATTTGAGGAATAGTGGGTTGGTTCAGGATATGTAAAATAATTTTAAAACCCAAAGGAAATGATAATATAAGGATGTTCTGGATTGTCAAAAATAGAGATATAAAAAATGAAGTTAAACTCATTTACGGACGGTCTGACAAAACCACTTAATTTTGTTGAAAATTTGAGAAAATTAAACGAAAAAAAGAGTGGACAATGCTTTGAATATTTTTTGCAATATTTTAATATTTTCTTTGCAAACTATAAATTTTAAGTCTTTCCCAAGAAGAATTTTTGACCATATTCTAAAGATCTTCTGTTTTTTTATAATCTGGTCGCACAAGGAAGAACATCTACATTTCGAAAATTTTAAGAAGTCGAAAATTTTTTCACCATGGAGATTATTTCTCATACATCAAGAGTAAAGACGAAGTTGAACTCATTGATCGTCGATGGATACAAAATCATCTAATTTTATATTTTTGGCTCTATGAAGAGAAAGACACTCTAGCCTTTTAAGACAAAAACTCCTATCCTTCTGGTATTCCATGAGACCTTAGACGTTTTTTTAAAGAGGGTCTAGTCTTTTAAGACAAAAACTTCTGTCCTCTGGGATTCAATGAGACCGTAGAATTTTTTTAAGAAGTTCTTCTGGTCATTTACGACCAGTCTTTGAGATAACATTCCGATCGTTTATGAAAAGACCTTCTGACTATCCAAGGGATGGGCACTTTGATATTTTAAACTAAGTGAGTTTGAAATTATGTTAAAATATCTTTTGTTTTTTTTAAAAGAAATTATGAGAAGATTCTATTGTCTTAGAAGACAAGTACTTCTGTTCTTTCTTTTGAAGTATCTTCTGGCATTCGATAACAATCTAAACTTTTCTAAGTAGTTCTTCTGGTCTTTTACAAACATTCTTTGAGATAATATTCTGTTATTAATAAAAATACCTTCTGCCTTTATCATTGGGATGGAAATTCCTCCGGCCTTTTATGATACGTGACTTTATTTTGCTCTTTTGCGAGAAACTACAAGAAGACCATCTTGCCTTCTACGACAAGAACTTCTGTCCTTCTTTTTCAAATTTTTCATGAGACCCTAGATTTTTCTGAAAAGTTATTCTGGTCATTTACGAGATAATACTACGGTCGTTAATCTTCCTTCTATAAAACGACGTTCTGATTTTATGAAAATGCATTTTGGTCTTCCTGAGATTATCTTCTGATTCTGCTAGTCTCTTCTCGAAAAGGCCATCTGGTCGTCATATAAAACACCAAATTACAGACATATTGTAGATAAATTCAATGAGAAGGACTTAAGTATTTGGCTCTGGTCTTTTAATTGGAGAAAATTCAATGATAGGATTGAAAACCAACATTACCGTAGAACATCAACATTTATAGGATTTGTTGAATAAAAATCGTTATTCACAATTGGTTGTTGGAATCATAGAAGTGAGAAAATAAACGGTTATGTTTGGATATTTCTTTATCCTCTTCATCAAAGCGATATGGTTCCAAAAAACTTCACTGTTCCCATGCTCAAGCGGTGTAAATGTTTTCTGCAATTCAATTTCTTTAGAATTGTTTAAATGATGCGTTCAGAATTAAACTGCAATTAATATTCCTAAAAATCTTAAAAATTTAATTAACATCGGGTTTTACAAAATTTTTGATTTGGCATCTTTTTAGATGTCTATTCCTCATTAAAGTCATTTTAATGTTTGCTGTAATGGCAAAGAGCATTGGAAACCGGACTTCTGACCTTTTTGGATTGGAATATAAAACATGATAATAATGTGTCATTTTTTAATAATAAAATAGTTTGAGATTAGTATTTTTAAATTGTTTTTAAGAAATGCCATATAAAATTTTATATTATTAAAAGTGCAACCAAATCGTTTAACATTTCTATAAATTACATTCAAAGAAAAATAAAAAAATACAAATTTAGAAGAAAAAATCGTCATGTTTACATTTTTAAATCAAAAACTGATTTCGAGACTATCAATTTTCAAACACGTTTTAGCAATGAAAATTTACATAGACCTACGCTCTATTTCAAAGCTATTATGATAAAAATGTTTTGCCCAAATTTTTCCATTTTTCCGTTAAAATCCAAATGTTAATAGTTGTTTTAGCTGTTTCTAAATGTATTTGGTGTGGATGTGTGTAGTAGGTGGAGATGATGTGAGACATAATCCGTTTTTTGTAAATACATTTCATTTCAAGCATTTGTTTTGGTTTTTTCATTTTCTTTTTAATAATACATATTTTGAATTATTAATCTTTAAAAATTTGTTACCGGGAAGAGATTTTTTCGGTTGTGTGTCAGTGTTTGTGGTGTGAGATTATCATTTTATTATTTATTTTTTTCTTAATTTGCTTTCACTTGTTTTGTTAATTTCCTTTTTTTAATATTTACTTTTATGTCACTATATATATAGAATTATATGATAAATTAATTTACTTATCTGTGTATGTGTGTTGAATTTTGTTGTTGTTCTTGTAAACAAAAAGAGATAAAATGTTTCACATTTCATTGTTACATTACTATATTATTATTATTGTGTGGTATTCCTCTGTTTTTTTTTCAGCTTCATCATTTCCATCATTAAGTTATTGTTGTCCTTATTCACTATTATATTTGAGTTGCTGTTGTTGTTGTGGCTGTTGCGTCTGCTGTGTTGCGGTGACAGCTGCTGCGGCTCCTGTCATTGGTGTATGTTGTTGCAATTGATATCATGAATGTTTGTCTGTCAACTCAGCCCAACGCATTTCAAAGAATTTACGCATACCATGACCAGCTTTACCCACTGGTGAATCGTCCTCATTGAACATTTCACAATTATCGAATATTTGCCGCACATCAACGCAGAAATCTTCACGACTTTTGTAACTGCAAAATAATGGGAGGAAATAAGGTAAAGAATTAGAAATATATAATTATAAATTAGAGGTCTTAGACTTGTTAGTCATTGGTCTAGTGAACCGAACTGTCTTTAGGCCTTCTGGCCCATCACTTACCTTAATTCTTGTAGTCTTTTCTTTATAGTTGACAAATCCATAGGATTTTTAATGATTTTACGATAAGTAGGAAATTGTTTGGTATTTACTGGCAATAAAAATGGCCATGAATCTTCATGGAGCTGTAAAAAATGAAGGAAAAAATCAAATTAATTTATAAAAAAGCAAAAAAAAACTAATAATAATTTGCACATTTCCCAAAAAAGGCGGTATCGTCATGATGGAATCTACACAAGAATATAGACCGATATGCGCCGTTTTCAATATCAATAAAGTAAATATATCAAAAATCCTTTCAAATATTCCCACAGAAAGTGCCAAGTTAATTTGTATTCGTGTAGGAATAGTTGTTTGAACCTAGTTTCTGACCCACTGAGTATTGCAGAAAAAAACTCAATTTTTGATAATAAAACAAGTGAAAAAAACTATAAGTTTGGCCGGGCCAAACTTTGAATACCCTCCCCCATTTGGAAAGAATTTGGCAATTTTCAAAAAAATAAAATCCGTTAAAAATATGCTGTTAGAAAGGTTATCATATTACGGTCTATACGACGACGTGGACCTACACAGGCAACTTTTGTCAAGTTATCTATCATAAGATAGATAACTTGAAAAAAAAATTGATGAATAATGTACCTAAAATCATCAAAATAATGAATATCGGGAGGTACCATTATATGGGGGCTATACCAAAACGTAGGCAATTTTCTGTCATAGGCTGTCTCCATTACGAACTTCAAATACCAATTTTGAAACAATTCCGGTCAATAATGTCGCTAAAATCATCAAAATAGCGAATATCGAGAGGTACTCTTATATGGGGGCTATACGAAGACGTGGACCTGCACAGACGGTTTTCTGTCTTAGACTGAAGTATCCATCACGAACTTCAAATACCAAATTTTAAACAATTCAGGTCAATAATGTCGCTAAAATCATCAAAATACCGAATATCGAGAGGTACTCTTATATGGGGGCTATACGAAGGCGTGAACCTGCACGGACAATTTTCTGTCATAGGCTGTAGTATCCATTACGAACTTCAAATACCAAATTTGAAACATATCCGGTGAATAATGCCGTTTAGATCACCAAAATACCGAAAGAGGGAGGTACTATTATATGGGGGCTATACCAAAACGTGTCCCATTTAAATACCAAAGGTACGGCAGACAAAATATACATTTGATTAAAAATTTCATTCGGAGGCTAGAGTGATTTCCATATACGGGCAGACGGAGGAACATGGCTAAATCGACATAGAATTTTATGCTGATCAAGAATATATGTACTTTGTGGGGTCTAAAATGTATATATCGGGGTGTTACAAACAGAATGACAAACTTAATATACCCTCCATACTATTATGAAAAAATACAGTCCTATCCCAAGGAGTCATTGTTTTTTTTTATACTATACAACCTAAATATTTTTTCCCAGTTTCTGGTTCTGATAAAACTTTGAAAGTTATAATCATTAATCGACAACGGATTGAAGATTTTAGGGAATAAAATGAGAAAAGAATACTTGCAGACAATTTTAGAAATTTATTTTGGAATTATTATTTTGATACACCAACAAATTTTTTTGGAAATCCCTAATAAACTCCTCGAAAGATTTTCTGGTTCGAAATTTATAAAACGAATAAATTAAAGAAGATTGTCGCATTTTCTACGGAGAGAATATCTTTATTGTATTCTGTAATAAAATAACATCCTATATGGAAAACTTCTGTTCAGCTATTAGAAGATATTCTGAACTTCTGTGAAAACCAGAAGACCTTTTTTAAGAAAAACTATTAGCCTTTCGGAAAAATTATACTCGCATAGTGCCAAGTTATCTTGAATCGTTGCTTGAACCTTGATTAAATTAGAATTGGCAGTTTCCTCCCCACTAAGAACCCGAAGAGAAAAATAGGAATGGTTTTGATTGAGTCGAAAGGATGTCTAAAATCTTCAACAAAACTAACATCAATTGGTGAATTGGGACTTTACCTATTGGATACATTTTGCAAAGACGGTTTTTAGTCATAAGGACATCAGTACTGCTAATGTAACAAAGCGTGGATGTTCATTGTCTGCACTCTGCAAGAAGAAATGGGAAACACACAGAGAACTTAAGAGATCTCAAGATTTTTATTGAATCGAAAGTCCGACAAAATACTACGAAATACTTAAAATCCGTTGGTACTTTGGAATTTTGCCTGTTGCTTATAATAACAAAGGTGTTATTTTTAAAATATCTCCTGGGGAGAATATCCCAGACAAAAAACAAGGGAACTGATGGGAATTGGTTTTAGAAATCTTTCCAATATAAAAGATCTTCTAGAGCTCTTTCATATATATCAGACATCATCCTAGACGGCATTCTTAAAATCCTCTCTCCATAAAATATTTTCTATTGCTCGTCCAGAGTTCTTCCTTTCTTAGTAAGCTTTCAAGGAAGTACTATAATTATAATTTAAATGGCCTGACTAGCAATTGGTAATATTCAAGTATGTATTCTTTTTCAATGTCTTCCCCAAATCATAAAGAACAAATCAAACGAAAAACTTACCTCCATTTCCCCCAAAACAGTCTTACACACGGCCAACTCCTTCATTAGTTTCTTGGTGGCATGTTTTTCTTTCTTCTCTTGTTTCATTTTCTCCTTAGCCTCCTGTACGGCATGAATGTTTAGGGGTGGTGGTGGACCCAATGCTGTCGTTGTGCTATTTCCACCGCCACCCACAATGGGTGGTGTTAGAGCAGCTGCAGCCGGCGATGTGGCCGGGGCTGGTGGAGCATTTAGTTGCGGTGAATGTTGCTGAAATTGCTGTTGCAAGGGTGTATTGAAATGCATTGACTGCTGCTGGCCTTGTTGGGTGGGTGTTGAGGAACGCGGTGATGTTAGGGAATGTTGTGGTGATGTTGTTGAACACATTAACGATGATGTCGAAGAAGATGTTGCCGACGCCGCTGTTGTCATTGATGTGGGCAGAGTTGCTGTCGATAAAACTGGCATATTTATGGAAATTGGTAATTGGCTGGGTATTATGGGCATTGGTTGATTGCTAACCGGTGGCATTTGTAGAGGGGTGGTGGAACCACTAGCCACCAAGCCCATGGAGGATGGTGGTGGGGGTTGTATGAGAGATGTACCCACAACCGTTGAATTCATTGAATATGGTGGTAAATGATTGTTTGTTTGATTTACACCCACCATGCCAGGTGTTGCGGCCAAATTGGCAAACAGAGAGGGAGACATGGCCTGAGGCTGGGGCGGCAGCAAAGACGATGTTGGCATACTATTAAACAGTTGTTGTTGCTGCTGCTGTTGCTGCGAAGGCATTGTCATGGGCATTGACATGGGAATTTGTGGTGTTGTGGGATTTTGTACAGCTGCCATGGCTGCTGACAGGTTGCCACCAATCAATTGCTGATGTTGGGCCGATAAGAGCAGACCATGATTAACGGCCGGTGTGTTGACATTAGAGCTGGCAATACCACCGCCGCCATCCATGCTGCTGTTATCGTTGTATTCATTGTTCGCGGCATTGTTGGCGTTGATCATATTGTGCGGACTTAATGCACCTTGACGATTGCTAACTTGATTTTGGAAGCGCGTTGTATCTATGGAATTGTTGTGATGATCATCAAAGGAGGTGGAAGCCACTGAATGGGCGGGACTAGAAAATTTAAAGAGAATACAATACAAAATTCCATGGACAGACATTTGGTTCGGCAAGTATTTCCTTACCTTAATGGTGGCGGCAAGGAAGTCATTGATTCGTCGTGTGACGAGTTGTGCAAGTTATGATGATCGGCCGAGGTGTTTAATTGTTCACAACTGGACGATGTATTGTGATGTTTGTCTTTGCGTTTGGACAGCGAGGTGGATGATGAGTCGCGGTCACGGCGAGGTTTGCTGCTAGAGGAACGTTTTTTCGGTGGTGGTGCCTTTGAAACGCAGCCATGACAATACCATTTGCCACGAGGCACTTTCAACAGTGGGGGAATGTAACAATCGGCATGGTAAGCACGCGGACACAAATCACAATAGATCATCTTGCCAACGGGCGGCAGGCGATGGCCACCACAGACAATGCATTTACGTTCGTTGGTGGCCTTGTTGACGCACTCAAAGCAATACCTTGAAGAAGAAAGCGGGAAAAAAGAAGGGAAAATTAGAACGTCATTCGCTAAATATGTTTTGGATAAATGGAAATAAAAAATACAATTTTGAAATTTTAGTGTTGGATTGGTGCTTTCTTGAGAGGGGGTGGATATGACAACATGTTTTCTTAGTGATGGGTGGTGGAAGAGGTCATTAAAAGAAATGGTAGCAGCGCACAAGTATTAACAAGAAACTGAGACGGACAATAAGTTAAAAAAAACGCTTTCAAAATTTTTTAGATGATTATGAGATGACCAAAATCAAAATCAACTCATGTTGTTACGAGTTTTTTTGTTGCGTTTCAAAAGAATTGCTGCTTCATCATCTATCTAACCAACCAACCAAAAAACTTCAGACCAGAAAATTAAATTCCAAAATAAAATATTAAAATTTTCGATTTTGTTAAAAAAAATACTTACCAATCACCCTCGGGGATATTTTCCATTTTCGGTTTGAAACAATACGTGTGATAACCTTTATCACAGCCATCACACAGCAATAGCTTATCCTCATTCTCGCCAGATGTGCAGAACTGGCAATTCTGTAAGGAATTCGAATAGGTGGAAGAGTTTGTAGATGTGGTTCTTTTACGGCTTCTACCTAATTTTTTAGTATTTGTTGTTGTTTTTGTGTTGGATTTCGATAGACTTGAAAGGGGGGAATTATGGGAATCGGAATCGTTTGTGTGTATTGTGGTTTTGGTGGTGTTGGTGATATTTTGGGACTTGGGATTTGTTGTTTTTGGTGAACATGTTTTGGCTGTTAAATTTTTGGAATTCTTTTTTGAAGCTTTTTTGGAGGGGGTTTCTTTAAGAAAATGACTAGAATCATGAGATGATAGGGATTCATCACAATCATCATCATCATCGTCGCTTGGGATTGGTGCGGGAATTGATGACGAGGATTTGACATCTTCCTGCTGGCCATGGTGGGTGGATGGGACAAGGGGAATGGGGGAAGAGGAATTGGAGGTTGTTGTTGTTGTTGTTGTTGTTGTAGCAGTAGTACATGTGTGTGTTTGTGTTCTGCTAATCTGGTTCCAGCTCCAGGTTTAGAAATTCGGCTACTTTAACGGGCTGTAGCCAGAGATCCTCTGGAGTGAGTTGGGTAGGTTTGGCTGAGCAATTAAAAAGGTGTAGCGTATTGTGCGGGCCTGTATCACACGCCGGGCAGGCGTCACGCACATCTTCATCAATTCGTGCCCAATACGAATTGAGGCGACTACACCATCCTGAACGTAATTGCGCCAAAACTACCCTGGTTTGTCTAGGCAGCTGACGTTCTTCGGCTGCAATGGATGGGGGGTGGACTCCGAGGACGGCATTCACTTTGTAACTGCTAATAGCATCCGCGACTGCATCGGTGTGAATGCCACTCAGACCTGCCTGATAGGCTTCTTGATCTAGAGGCTCTCTCTTGTAGCGCTGGACCTCCCTCTCTAGATCATGTATGTCCTTCCTGACACGCCTGGGTGGGGGAGAGTTATCCACCATGTGATGGTTGGGATGGCTCTCACGGTAACACCCAAGCAGGTACTGCAACGAAAGCATATGATTATGCTGACGTAAGGGAAGGACTTTCGCCTCCTCATGTAGATGGTCCACTGGTGTCATGAGGAGGCACCCTGTCGCAGTTCTCAGGGCAGCGTTCTGGCAGGTCTGGATATTCTTCCACTGCGTAGCACTAGTATTCGCAGACCACACTGGAGCCGCATAGTTGACCACAGACCGACCTATCGCGTTATAAGAGGTCAACAAGGTTTCTTTGTCCGCACCCCAAGAGCTGCCGGCTAGCGCCTTGAGGACCTTGTTCCTACTTTTCATCTTGTCGCAGATAGCTGTGGCTTGCGCGGACGACTTGAACATGCTGTCGAACGTTACCCCAAGAATCTTGGGGTAGTTCGTGGTCGGTATTAAATTCCCCTCGACCTGAACATTCAGCTGTGTTCTCATCTCCGCAGACCATGTGGTAAAGAGTGTGGCCGTTGATTTCGTGGCGGATATTTTCATATTCCTCGCGTGGAAGTATGCGGCAAGCTCCGCGAGATAGGGGTTCAACCTTTCGCATATGTCATCGACCACTGGACCCGACGCCATGATCGTACAATCATCCGCATACGTTACGATCTCAATGCCGTCTGGAGGGCGAGGAATTCCGGAAAGGTAGAGGTTAAACAGTTCCGGAGATATCACCCCACCTTGGGGAACTCCCTGTTTCACTCTACGGGCTTTGGACTTCTTGTTCCGGAATTCCACGTACGACTGGCGTCCACACATATAGTTGATTATCCAACGTTTCAAACTTGGCCGGAGGGTAGTTCTCTGTACGTCCTCAAACAGTGTGGCATGATTGACCGTATCAAATGCCTTTGATAGGTCAAGGGCTACCAACACTGTTCTGTCACACGGCCTGTTCTGGTTTAGTCCTCTACTAATATGTGTGGAAATGGCGTGTAATGCTGTTGTGGTACTATGTTGTGGACGGAATCCATGCTGGTGGTTGGCAACTGCATAGCTTCCTCTAATGCTGGGGAGGAGTAAAGCCTCAAGAGTCTTTGCTACTGGCGACAAAAGCGAAATCGGCCTGTACGATTCGCCTTTACTGGCATCCTTGCCTGGCTTCAGTAGCGGGACCACCCGGCCCATTTTCCAGGTTTCGGGCACTATGTAGGTGGCTAGCGACAAATTGAGAACTTTTGTTAAGTACTCGACTCCCGGCGTATCCAGCTGCTTCAACATTACCATTGAGATTCCGTCCGGGCCCAACGCTTTGGATGACTTAGCGTTACGGATGACATTTGCAACATCACCCATCGTAAACTGTGGTGGTTCCTCCTCGGCGGGAAGAGATCTGATACGACGTAGTACTCTTCGCTTCGCCCTATCACTCTCGGGGTGCTCGACAAATTGTCGGTTAAAATATTCCGCGCACCTCTTCGGATCAGTCACCGTTACGTCGTTAAAAGTGACTGAGGTCCTATCATCCTTTTTTCCAGGGTTCGAGAGCGACTTAACCGTTACCCACAGCTTACTCATATCGGTTCCAATGTTGCAGCACTTCAGATGGTCTAGCCACTTTTTCCTCTTATGCTCCTGCACCAACCGGTTGACTTCCACTGTCAAATCACTGATTCTAGGATCAGTAGGGTTGGTACGACGGAGATCATCACGCTCGTTTGCTAATCCCGCTGCCTCTGCTGGGAAGTTTGGTCTTATCTCGGGTATTCGACCAGCAGGTATATAGCGAGCGGCTGCAGCTCTGATGATGTTTCGGAAAATCCTTTCTGCTACCCGAACATCAGAAGGGTTGGGCAGTTCTCTGAAGCGGCGGTTGGTGAATTCTCTGAACTCTGGCCAGTGAGCTTTCCCATGGTTAAGGAAAGTGCGGCGTTCAGAGGTTATGAAATCGGGCGACCTGCTTATGGAGACGATTATCGGGAGATGGTCTGAGCCAAGAGAAATGACGGGTTGCCAAGTCACGTCATTTATCAGACCGGGTGACACTATGGTTAAATCTGGCGAACTGTGACACTCTCCTCTTATTCGGGTGGGGGCATCCTCGTTAACCGTGCAGAATGTGGAGCAGTCAATCTGCTCTGCCAGCGCTGATCCCCTCTGGTCATTACCTAGGACGGAATGCCACAACTCATGGTGGGCATTAAAATCCCCTAGTACCAGGCGGTTATTGCCTACCAATAATGGGCTAATATCAGGCAAATAACGTGGTTCACAGCTATTAATCGGCGGGATATACACATTAAGCACCTCTACCTCGGCAGTTCCACACTTGACTGCTACCCCCATACATTCCATGTATGGGTCACTAGAGACTAGCTCAAGCGAGATAGGTCTGTACTGAACAGAATGGTGTAACAGGAACGCTAATCCCCCACCTCCACTTCTGGTGCGATCCTTCCTTAGTACGTTGTAACCATAACAACGTTGTAGGCTGCAATTTTCATTCAGCTTGGTTTCCTGCACCGCTGCGATCTTAATATTCCTCCGACTCATAAATTCCACTATCTCATCTATTTTGCCTCGAAGTCCGTTGCAATTGAATTGCAAGAATGATGCACAATCCGGAGTTGGAACAGCAACATGTGGCGTTAGGTGCTGCGGTGTTGGTTGCTGTTCTGGAGACTGCGGTGGAGTGCCATACTCCGACGACGTCTCTGACGAGGACGACGAAGAAGAGGACTCGCTGGGGACTACGTTACTGCAGCAAGTCGCAACATAATCCCTTTCGCTGTAGTCTCGCAAACGCCTTAATCCGGAACAGTTCTTGAAGTGCACCCACTCTCTGCATCCATTACATCGCACCGAGACAGATCTGTGGTGGATGACGTTCTGACAAACCGAGCAGAACCAAGGTCCGGGGTTTTCCTCAATCCCGGCACGGACCAATAAAATCCGGAGCAAGCATTCCGGGATATGCTGCTCCCAATGCAGAAAAATAAACAAACACAAACATGTACATACTGGGTTGGCAGCCGCTGGCCGAAACAGGAAACTTGTTGTTTCGGGTCAATCCGGTATCGTAGAACCCGCTGCCGTGGGATTGGTTGTTGTTGTCGAACTGGCTGCCTTTAAGGCATTTTTGAAACGTTGTTTGGGAGTTTGGTAGGTCAGATTGATTTTGATTGTTGTTGCTGTTGTTGTTTCACACACTCTCAACGACGCACTGTCCTCAGTTGTGGTACGGGAAGCATCATTTGAACTCTCCTCATTTGCCATTGTTGTGGCGCTGGACGACTGAGCTGGATTCTCAAACAATGCTTTGATATTGAGACTACTGTTGGCATCTTCCACATTTTCTTGATCTTTGTTTTTCGACTTCTTTTTCTTGGAATGTTTGTGTTTGTGCTGCTTGCCAACATTTTCATCATCGTGTTTGTGGGAGTTTTTCTTGGCTTTGGATTTCTTTTCCTTCTTAGATTTCTTGGATGATTTTTCATGCTTCTTCACTTCCTCTTTCTTTTTTTTTTTTTTTTGTGGGTGGGATGAACGAAATGCAGCATATCATTGGCAATCACAATGGATAAAGGTGTTGGTGGTAGAGTAGTGGTGATGGTGGTGGTTATGGTTTGACGGTTTTGGTTTTTTTTATTGAGGTGATGAAGAAGAACGAATAAGCCAAAATGTAAACAATCAACAACAACATTTTTGTTTTGGATTTTTGTTGTAAGGATAGGGATAAGGACAGGGGATATTTACAGTTTGTTGCAAGTTTGATTTATTCAGATTTTACAATAGAAAAATTAAACCATTCACCCAAAAAATCAAAATATTACATTACAAAAGAGAAAGTGAAGTCATGGAGGTGGTCGTGTGTGAGTAGTATTTGGGATATGTCATTAAGGAATTCGTTTCAAAATTACAATATTAATGGGCATGTGATGTAGATGACGGTGTTGTGGTTACAAAAAGTGTAGTTTGGTTTTTATAAAATAGATTAGTTAAATATTGAAATATATAAAAAATTCCAAAACAAAACAAACAAACATTCACCATGGTTATTAATTGGAAATTAACAAATATTTGAAATATATTTTAATATGATAAATATAAAAAAGCACACAAGTCATAAATACACGTATAATTAAAAAACAACCGAAGGAAATAATAAGCCAGATATTATTTTTGTATTTTAAAAATGATTTTAAAGCAATATTTAATTTTTGTATTAATAGAAGTGCGTAGCAAATTGGACAACAACAAATATTTTTTTATTTTATTATTTGGAAAAAAGAAAAAAATCGAAAAAAGGATTTTTTAGAAAATTAGATTTCTTTTAATGTAAATTAATATATTTTAGAATTTTTTTACTTCTTAATTGGCGAATTATGATGTAAAGATAAAGAAACAACAACAGCTACATTTATGTAATGAAATGGAAAATGAAAAAGGCAGCCAGTTCTTTGCAAGAATAAGTCTCAACATTTTCAAATAGAAATAAATAAAAGAAAAAAATAATAATTCAAAGTTGGTAGTTAAGAGCCGACAGAATGACATTTGAAAGGGATGTTCGCAATTGTACATTTCAGTGAATCCAAGATCTCTGGAATGATTCAGCCTTAAATAGGGTAAAACTTGACCGTCAGCTGTGCTAAAGAACTGCCTGACTTGGGCGAGTAAGTAATTATTTAGTTGTCAGGTCCTTGTGATGTTGGTTCCTTTTGATCTTGGCTACCTAGAGATTCAGATACAAGTAAAAATGACATTAAATTCATCTAAGCCGAACTTTTTATACCCTCCGCCGCCATGTGAAAAGTTTAATTACGACCCGAAAGGCTCTTATCAAAATCCTTAAAACATGGACGTTCCCTAATAAGGGGTATATGCCTATATTGCATATTTTTTGGGAGCAGTCAAATAAACGAAATATCAAATTACAACTGTTTGGTAGAAAACTGAGACCGATTTTTTTTGCGAAGAATTGAACTAAGAGAGGAGAATTGGAGTGGGAATTGGGACAAAAAAAACCTTCAAATACCTAAAACAAGTTTTCTGGGGGGCTATACGTAAGTGTGGACCGAAACAATGCAACAAAGCATATTCTGGGTTAATACAAAAGAGAAGAATCCTGAGATTAACCTAGGAAGCTCGGAAATATGCTGAATTATACTGTGTAATGTGTAATGATCCAAATGTCCTCTAAACAGAGCAAAGGTTGTCGGAGGGGTTTCTCATTTAAAGCTGACTTTAGGACCGACTACAGCGGCATAGGGTATAACCGACAGTCACAACAAGGATTCTGATTTTACCCAGAAGAGCAAAGCCTTAAGATTGTTCATCTGGTCCTCACCTTAGGACAGACTACTGCGGCATCGGTTTTATCCGATAACTGATCGTGTCCTCGGTAAGTGATACTAGAAGGGGAGAATACCGTCAAGGCTGTTAGGAAAATTTTGATGAGGGCCAATTATATGGAGGACATGAAGTAGTCGCACTTGGATATGGCGCCGAAAGCGTCGGATAACAAACGGATGCTATTTTGCAGTCATTTGTATTCAAACAGTCTCGTTTTCAAGACACTGCCACTTTGTTCGCAACTTTAAAAGGACAAAACCTAAACGACTAAATGTTGGCTACTGTGAAAGCTGAACTGGTAGCTATTTGGGGTGTAAGCCCTGCAATGACTGAACTCGTACTATTTAAAAAAACGCAAAATAGATCATTTTTAGTTGCCAGTATAGGGTAAGGCTATCTGACCGGTAATCTCGAGAATTTCCCTTCTATCACTTAGTAGGTCTGATCTGACTGGCCACTGACTACTGTAGATTACGTGAAGATGAATAAGAGGTAGTGACGATGACCCATGTTATCCAACAAGAGACATAGACTATTTGGCAGGTGGAAAATAGAAACTTTAAGGTTCTACTCTACCTGGCTAAGCACACCACCCTGCTAATTCCGCCACGAAATCAACGGCCACACTATTTACCACATGGTCTGCCGAAATAAGAACACAGCTGAATCTGTGAGTCGAGGGAAATGTAATACCGACTACGAACTACCCCAAGATTCTAGGAGTCACATTCGACAGCATGTTCAAGTCGTTCGCGCAAAGCCACAGCTATTTGCGACAAGATGAAAAGTGAGAACAATGTCGCTAGCCAGCAGCAGTTGGCCTTGTTGACCTCTTATAACGCGATAGGTCAGTCTGTGGCCAGCTATGCGGCTCCATTGTGGTCTGAGAATACTAGTGCTACGCAGTGAAAGCACATCCAGACCTGCAAGAATGCTGCCCTGAAAACGGCGACGGGTGCCTCCTCATGACACCAGTGGACCACCTACACAAGGAGGCGAAAGTCCTACCTTGCGTCAGCATAATCATATCCTTTCGTTGCAGTACCAGCTTGGGTGTTGCCGTGAGATTTATTCCAACCATCATATGGTGGATACAAGTTCCTCACCCAGGCGTGTCAGGAAGGAACATACACCATCTAGAGGGAGGTCTAACGCTATAAGAGAGAGAGGCAGGTCTGAGTGGCAATCATACCGATGCAGTCGCGGATGCTATCAGCAAAATCAGGATGAATGTCGTCTTCGGAATCCATCCCCCCATCCATTGCAGCTGAAGAACGCCAGCTGACTAGACAAGCCAGGATAGTTTTGACGCAATTACGTTCAGGATGGTGTAGTCGTCTCAATTCGAATTGGGCACGAATTGACGAAGATGCTCGCGCAATACGCTGCACCCCTTTAATTGCACAGCCAAATCTATCCAACTCACTGCAGAAGATCTCTGGCTACAGCCCGTTAAAGTAGCCGAATTTTTAATCCTTGAGCTTGAACGCGATTAGCTGAGTGCAAACACCCACATGTACTACTGCTACAACAACAACCCTGCTAACTATAGTTCACTCTATAAACCCTTTCTTCTCTTTTTCATTTCTATATCTCTCATATCACCAACACCATTATTCGACGATTTCGACAAATAGACCTTGCAATCATCTTTGTCAATGGTGAAATATTGGACATTGTAGGGGAGGTCCCCTTTAGATTTGTGTCTCTTTGAGGGTCAGATGTTTATGGCCTGATTAAAGAGAAAGCTAATAAAATGACTATTAAAAGATAATAACTATATTCCTTTTTTATAAATTGTCATTTAAAATCCGCTTAATACAAATGGTTAAGTTTTGTCAAATATATAATACAAATAGATCTTTATTTCACACATTTTGCAGAATTTTTAAGGATACCCATTCAAGTGGGCTTAAGGAGTTCAAGAAGATACAACTTTTTAATAGATTCATTTGTACTTTCAATATTTAAAACTTTAAGAGAATATCGACATTTTTATTTGTTAAAAAAATTGTTACTTATACTTGCAAAGCCAAAACATGCATGGAAAAAAATCGCAGCCAAAATCATGAATCATGAAGGAAGCGGTTAATGTTAGTCAAGAAAAAAATAATAAACAACAAAACAATGGCATGAAGAAAAGAGCTACCGAAATACAACACAAAATTAAAAATTTCTATTAGAAATAACACAAAAAGAATAATAAACAAAAACAACAACAATGATACAACAAAATGTGTGCTCTTGTGTGTGTGTATAGAAAGTGGTGTGTGGTTAATTCATTTGAATCTTGGCCAGATTTAATTGTAAATCAAATAAAAAAAAACAATAGTTTTCATTTATAGTTTAAAATACAACAGAATAAAAGAAGAACAATTGATTCTCGATATTTAAATAGTGTGTATGTGTAAAACCGATTTACTTAAAATGATACAAGAATGCATAACACTTACCGCCTTCATGATGCTCTTATCCCAGGCTACACATGATTCGAGCACATAGAGAGCCATAGCCAATTGGGCGGTGGTATGCGAACGAGAGACAGCATCACGCCATGACACCAAACCTTTGGGTATATTTTCAACTTTCTCATCTTTATCGCTATCACAATTGCTGGAGGGTGAATCTCCACCGGAGTTATTCTCATTGTGCGTCTGGCTTGAATTTGGCCCATCTGAATTGTTGTTTGCTGCAGCGGCATTATTCGCCGCCAATGCCATGGCACGTTCATTAAATGCCGATGGATTGAAAGCCTGCTGCTGTTGTTGCTGCTGAGCGGCAGCTTGTTGCTGTTGCATTTGTTGATAGTATGCTGCGGCATTGGCTGAATTTTGTGTTTGTGTGTTTTGTTGGTTTTGAGCAATGGCGGCAAGGTGAGCATCGCCAGTATGGGCTCCCAGTGGTGGTTTCAAGTAACGCCTTTCAATGTTGGCCTCTAAGTCTATAATACGTTCCCTTATCATGGGTATAATGCTAACAAAATCTTCCTCTGTGATGTCGGCATCACTTTCCAAATTTAACTCAGACTCAATTCGTGGCGGTAAGACCCAATTCTTGAGTTGCATTGAAGCCGAGGCGATTTTATCCTCCAATGCCTCCAGTTGTTCCAACAAAGCCATTTCCACACGTTTAGCAATTTTCGGTGTCCAATCATTGGGCTTATCAGGCAACACAAATGGCGCATCGTTTTCTCTTGGCTCTCCCATTGGATAGGGCAAGCCCAATGGTATCTCCTGGCTAAGGAACCGTGTGAGATTCTCTTTTAACTCCTTTTCCCTTAGACCCGAAGAATTCAATGAACTAATGACCTGTTGCAACAATTCCATGGTATCAATTTTCCACCAATTATAACGTAGGTCGTATGGAACGAAACTATTGGTCACTTTCTTGGGAAACCCCTCACGTTTGACTTCCTCCAACTTTTGTGACTCTTCCAGTGTCATTTGCAGGGGTGTGGGCACATCGTATTGTATGAAATTGCTGATGTTTGTCAGCGACATGTTGTGCATGTTTTGCAGCGAAGTTTGCAAAGCTTCGTCGAGCTTTATTTCCAATTTAGGTTTTATGTCGTACACCTCACTGGATTCACCACCGCCTCCCCCTCCTCCGCCATCATTCCCTTCGTCCTTGGGAAAAGGAAAAAATTTCGTTTCCATTTCGTTTTTTACCACCGCCGCTGCCACGGATTTTTTGTTGTCACGAGCTTCTTCAGCCGCCTCCTCGTCATCGCAGTCCATATTGTCGCTTTCACCACATTCAGTTTTCATTTGATGATGACGAGGAGTCTCCAAGGAGTTTTTTGAATTTTGTAATTTTTCTTCGAATTCTTTTAGTTTCTTATCGATTTCGTCCTGCTCCAAACCGGACAGGGAGATAATACATTCGTGTGTTAATTTCGAGAGATCGGCTTTGCAATCATCCATGGTTACGGTGAAATATTGGACATTGTTGGGCAGATCCCAGGGATGGCCCTGAATCTGATAGTTCGAGCTGCACGTTATGTTGGAGTACATCTTTTGGAATTCTTTGAGATTGGTGGCATTTTGAGGTTCGGTTGTTGTTAATGGCACTTCACGATTAACAATGGAAAACCATTTGTCCTGGGGCTCGGGTGGTTGCATCAAGGGCTTGATGTCAGTTGGCCCAGAAGACGAGACAATTATGCAATCGTCCTCCTTCTTGTCATCGATCTTCATGGGATCCGGTTTAATGGTGGTATTGAGCGTTGTGGCAGATGAAGTGGCATTCGCATTCATCATTGTATTATTTGCATCTGATTTATCACAGTTTGTCGTTAGAGAATTCTGAGAAAGATTTTGTGCGGCAGCGCCAGGCAGCTTGACGTCATTTTCGAAATCTTCTTTCATGGGTACTACAGATGACGCCATTGAGGGATTATTGCTGTTTAAAGGAGGATGAGGAGGAGCGGGATTGGCATTCGAAGGTATTGCACTCGCACCTAGAGGCGGTGGTGGCAGGAGACCAGCAGCATCGGGTTTCTCCACTTTAGCCGTGCCATTGTTGTCAATTTGTATGGCTTGGGGTTTTATGGCCACATCGTAATCATCGTCGTCATCATCACGTAGATCAACAATTTCCGGCTCAACACGATTAGTTTCAACGCAATCGTCATCGGAGTCCTCAGCGGCATTGTTGGTTTCTGTAGCGGTATTTATGTTGGTTGTTGTTGTTGTCGTGGTGGTTACTTCTTCATTCGTTGTGACATCTGCGTTTTGCATTTCAACATCATTGTCAAGATTGTGGATGGTGTTTGCTGCAATTTCATTGCCATTGCCTTCGGCGGTGGTGACAGCCGATGTTACTGCTGCCTTGGCCTCTTCATTTTCATGTTGTTGGCTCTCTTCCGGCGGTTGGCTGAGTTTTCTTTCCTCCGCCTCTTGTTCTAATATCTCCTGATATTGGAATATATCATTTTGAGCCGATTCCAAGGCTTCAATGAAAATTCCACCAGCCTTGGGCAAACGCCAATAACGTCTCCAAAAACGATCCTGACCAAAGCATGTGGCTCTCAGCTGATTTGTGGATTTCTCCAGAACTTCCTTGCAGTTCAATGAAGCTCTGATGATTTTGTCAAGTTTCTTTTGCAATTCATCGGCCGACAAACGATTGTCTTCATCCTCTTCAGCATTGGTCATTTCCGACTCAATGTCAGACATATCCTCATCCATGCCGCCATCGGTACAGGCATCATCGCCTGTCACCTTTTTGCCGGCCAATAGCACGTTAATATCTGCCGCCGCTGAACCACCATTGTGATATGAGGTAGATGACAAATCATCCAATTTGGCCATTTTGGTGGGTGTTATGTCGGACGATGAAAGACCCATTAGTTTCGAATCATCCAATGAACCGGGCAGGTTTGTTATGTCCTTATCTAGCTGATGTTGTTTTTGCGGTGAATCGCCGTCAATGTCCATGCTTTCCAGCTTGTTGTTGTTGTTGGCATTATTATTTTGTTCTCCCAGGGCGGCAGCGGGTGTTTCAGCATTTACCGCTTGCTCTCCTCCTCCTCCTCTGGCTATGGCAGAATTTTCATTGTCACCTTCTTTGTTGTTGGGACCACCAGCACCACCACCATCGGCATTCTCCTTCTCTTGCCGTTCAGCATCCAATTTCTGCTGGGCAGCCATTGCCTGCATGGCAGATTCCCTTTCGGCCTGCAATTTTTCATAGGCCTCAATGCGTGACTTACGCATATGCAGGGCCTTATATTTTCTCACCTTCATATCAGTCATGTATTTTTCCTTGCGCATTTGATTGCATGTCTCTAGGCTGGTTTCAATTTGCTTCAAAACGGCCTTATTCATGAGCAAATCGTTGCACAAGTGAGCCAAGATTTGGGCCTTCTTTGTGGGGTTCAATGCAACGAAAGGACGATCCTTGAGAGCCTGCGACAGTTTCCACGTTTCGTTTTCATGCAACAGCTTATAGTATTCGGCATTTTTGCCAGAATGTACAACCGATTCCGAATCGATTTGATGATGATCCGGCACCCGACGTTCACGCTCCCGATCCATGACAACGCCAAACATTTGACGGATTTCGCCGGTGGCAGTGGCATACAAGTAGATACGTAAAATTTCCGCAACATTGGAATTGGTGATGTCGGCATTACGCAGAGATTGTCCAAGCAAGGTGGTGTGTCGACCGGGATTCGGTATGCCGGGATCCTCAATGGCACACACCAACAAGTGGGTCATCACAGATAAGAGTTCTTCTTCGGCATCGGCATTGCTGTCGCTGACCAAAGCATCGTGGAGATTTTGTAGAGTGGGTAGAGATTCCATATCTAAAAAAAGAGAAGGCAAAGAAAATGATTAAAATTGATTTGTGGTAGGGAAGACTTTTAAGGGGGTGACTTACCAAATCCTAGGGTTTCACCGAAATTATGCAAGAATTCAAAGACCATTAACAAATCAGCCATGGCCTGACCCGGCAAACGATTACCGGCAATACGCTCCAAATCGGGTATTTGATTGGTTTGTATCAATTCCGAATCCTCTTGGGGTTTCCTAATGGGAACAAAAAAACACAGTAAATTAAAAACGGGATTCCTTAACATGTTTTGCCACACAGCTTTATGGGGGTGAATTCCTTTCTTATGCGCCTGTGTGTTTCGTAATTCTAACAGCACCTCATCTCACCTTATTTGTGCTAATATTTCAGCATCACGTTTACGTGAAGCCAACCTCTTTTCACGCATTATCAAGCGATCCAAGACCATTTGATGTTTCTTCTTTTCACGCTCTTCAAATTTGCGACGGATCTCCAGTTGACGTATCAAATTCATGTGTTGACGTCTGCGCTCCCGTTCCATTTCGGCGGCTAACAGCATTTCCTTTTGCCTTTGAAGTTCCTGTAGAGGGTAAGGGGAAACAAGATATGTTAGTAATGCCTTGAAAGTTAAGACCTCAAAGGAACACATAAAAGGAAGGAAAGATTTATGGAAAACTACGTTCAGTTTTATGTTTCAATTTACATTGGTAACTACTACTCTATTCTAAAGAACAAGAATGTATGGAGAATATCTACAAAGTGTCGATTTGCAGTTCGTATAGTGGGTGTTATAAGTTAAGATTGATTGATTGGATAGGCAATTATTGAAATTGTTGAATATACCTGTTCTTTAGCTAAAATAGCTTCTTGACGTTTCTTTTCCTTTTCCTAAACAAAAAATGTTCAATAACACATTTAGTTTGAATGTAAACTTTGATTTAAAACAAAAAGTGGTGAAAAAATGACGAAAGAAGTTAAGAACTGAAGAAGTGAAAATTTAAAAAAATTATACCAAGCATTCTTTTGAAACGGAAAAGTGTAGATGGCCCAGCTCTAGGTGCTGAGAAGAGTGACAAAGTAAAAATCCTTTTCAAATCAAAACTATGAATTTTAAACTAAAACAATAACGAAAGAAGTAAAGAGAAATACTAAAGACTGAAAATTTAAAAAAACAAATTCCAAACATTCTTTTGAAACGGAAAAGTGTAGATGGCCCAGCTCTAGATGCTGATAAGAATGGTAAAGTAAAGATCGTTTTCAAATCAAAACTATGAATTTTGAACTAAAGGGATAAACAAAAGATAATTCTCAAATAGCTACATTAGCACTGGCAAATACCAACCTGTTGTTTCTTGAGTATTTCCTCTTGTTTCAAACGTTCCAGCTCCTCTTGTTTTTTCTTGCGGGCCTAAAAGATATTTTAAAAACGCAAACATTAGATTTCAGAACTCCACCTTTCTCTCCAAAAAAAAAAAAACTTTCTCACCTCAATGGCTTGTTGATTCTTGAGTTCACGTTCACGTTTCTGCTGCTCCAGCTTTTCGTTCTTCTCCTGGCGGGCCTTTTCCTTACTCCTGGCCATTTCTTCCTTTTGGGCCTTTTTAGCATCGCGCAGAGCTTGCTGTTGTTTGGCAATCTGTATACGCTCCTCGACATTTAATGTCTGGCGAGTAAAGATTTTCAAATCTTCTAAACGTTTGGCCACATCCTCATCGGTCATGCGTATATATTCGCCATCATTGGCATAGGGCGGTGGGGCCGGTTGCAAGAATGTGCCCACAATAGCACGGGCCGAAAAGCTAAAGTTTTCACGCAGCAATTTTGAGGGATTCTTTTCCAAATACTAAAGAACAACAACAAATTAAAAAAATACAAATTCTATTAGCATTTCAGACCTCTTTTTTAGGGGATAGGGAAAACTAGATAAGCATTTTAAACTTTACAGTTTACATTGCCTGTGCGTGTGGGTACTACTAAAATTTTTGATCTACAAACAACTCACAGAGAAAACTTGTCCAATGGACTTGAGGGGTACATTACTACCCGGTGCATAATAAGTAACCTCGCCCTTAATTTGTCCAGCCTTGGTGAGGCCACGTATTACGGTTTCCCGCTTCCAGCCCAAATCCAGGGGTACTCTTAATTCGGTTACATTCAAAAGATTCGGTTCTTCAGTCTCAGATTCAGAAAGTCCCGATTCGGCTGCCACACTTTCCGAGTCTGTGGAGACTTCCATTTGAGCATTGGCTTCGCTTAAAGCCTGACGGATTTTTTCCTAAAACAAAAAAGACCACAATTAAAAAAATTCTTGCCATTACAAACCACAAACTCCCCCCAAAACTCACAATATCAGCTCCTTGTTGCAGCAGTTGTTGAGTGGCCAACATGGGTTTGATGCCCACGGCTCGTGATTGGGCCAGCAACGATGCAACGGTATTCTTTTTGGGCTTTGACACACCACGACCTAAATTCCTGGGGCGTCCCTCTTTAAAGTTGGATGGCTGTGATGATCTATCATTTGCGGCATTGGCCGATGACGAATTGCTGCTACTATTACCTCCCAAATTGGAACTATTGCCACTGGCACTTCCTCCTCCACTACCCGAAGAACCACCACCATTACCGCCCAGGGCGGCTGTTATTGAACTCAAACTTTGTAGACTTGAAGCACCCGAGTTGCCTGAACTTCCAGCACCACTGTTAGCACCTCCAGACAAATCATTACTGGAGGATGATGATTTATCCGGTTTCATTGACAAATTAAGGGGTGCATCAAAATCATCTATGGTTATGGTGGCTCCAATCACATTCTGATTACTGGCCAGTCCTGAACTTGATACCGAACTGGCGGCCGGCTTCAGACTAAGGTTAACACCCGAACTCAGGTCAGTGCTGCTGCCGGTCAGATCGTGTATATCTTTGTTTTTGTTCGATAGATTATACGCTCCATTTGAGGTAATAGTAGGTGGCAATTTTATCACCTCTACACGATCTGTGGAAGAATCTCGGCTTGTGCGACCACTGCTCGGTCCGGTCAGATCCAAATGCGGCGTATTCTGCGATGAACCGCCCGAGGTGGAGGAGCCCGGAGTTGCTGAATTGTTTGCACCCAAGGAACCACTCAAAACGGCCATTTGTGAGGCAGTCAAATTGCCCGGCAAACCGGTGGCACTTGCATTGCCCATGCCACCAACACCGACGGCACCACTGCCACCGGCTGCAGCATTTTGCTGTTGCTGATGTTGTTGCTGGGCGGCATTGGCCGCCGCGGCTATGGCAGCATACTCCATTTCGAGTCTCGCCCTTTTCGCTGGGCTAAGACCTGGAAATGCAAGCAAAGAGGAAAGAGCATTTGTTGTTGAATCTAAGTCAATTTTTTGTTGTTGTAGTTGGTTTTGTTCATCTGATATGGTCTTTTTACGACCACGTGAAGTAGTACCGGGTATTTTGGGGCCCACAATTGATGAGGTGTATTTGATGATCTCCGTGTCGGGTGGCAAGCGTACTCCCAGCAATGAGGGGTGGTCACTGTAATCAGAAAACAACAAAATATTTATTTAAATGGGTTCAATCCCACCTCCATTTTGCTTATGACTTACCCTAATCCTCCAGTTGGTATGAAATCTTTAGAAGATTTATTATTGCCTCCAGCTGATGAGGAGGCCGAACCACCTCCCCCAGAATTATTGCCTGATGTAGCAGCCGCAGCTGCAGCAGCTGCCGCTGAATTACTGGCAGCAAATGCATTCATCGCTGCCTGCATACTCTGCTGCGGGGTCATGCACAATGCACCAAATTGCGATAGGGAATTCAAAGCATTCAATGAAGCATTATTCTTGTCGGCGGCACTCTTGTCACGGGAGGATGATGAGGAAGAAGAATTGGAGCCACCACCACCAGCGCCACCTCCACCACTGCCACCGCCCCCCATTGAGCCATGCGGTGATATTAGATTCGCTGATGATGATGAAACATTAGTGGGTAATGAAGTATTTATGCCACCAGTTAAGTGATGATGGGAAGTAGAAGTAGAAGAAGAAGAGGATGAAGTGTTACCTGACGTTGATGATGAATTGTTATTTGATTGTTTGGATGAGGATTTCTTTGATGAACTTGGTGCACCAGAGGCCGCTGCTGCAGCTGCAGCCTGTTGCATGGCCAATAATTCTTTATGCAATTGTACCGGATCATATGCCGATCCAGGTGGTGGAGGCAATTGAACCTGTATTTGATTCGATGAGGATGAAGATGATGATGATTTGCCAAAGTTGGATGAATTGTTCTGCAAAAGAAAAAGGAAAACAAAAACAAAGGTAAGGGCGGAAGAGGTTAGGAAAAGTTGTTACAGGCTATCGCTGGACCTACCTTATAGGCATTACTAGAACTACCACTATTGTTACTACCACTACCGGCTGAGCTACCTAGACCCGATGATGGTGTTATTGTTGTACCAGCACCCACCAGGCCATGCATACTGGACAGAGCTGCCGCTGGATTGGCTGCCACGGCCGCAGCAGCAGCCGCCGCTGCAGCATTTAAGCTATTGGCCAATGATTGTTGTTGCTGCTGTTGTTGTTGTAGCTGTTGTTGTTGCTGCTGTTGACGTTGTTTCTCTTTGCGGGATTTACTGCTTGATTTGCCACCACCAGATGAATTACTATTGCCACCACCGCCAGAGCCTGAATTACCACCAGAATTGGCATTTTGACCAGCCCCTGCGGCACCACCAACACCAGCATTCCCCGCTGCCCCACCAGCACCGGCCAGACCCAAGGCGGCTGGATTGAAGGCTGCTGCCAGATCGGCATGTGGAAAATGTGTTAAACCTGATGCCTGCAAGCGGTTGAAATAATCCTGGGCAGCCAGCTGGGTGACAGCCCACCAGTCTGTAGGGAGGGGGGAAGGAAAAGGAAAAAATGTTAATTATTATAATAAAAAAATATGATAATCGAGTAAATTTTAAGAAGAATTAAGCTAAAATGATGGAAATTTTTAAGGAATTAACAATTTTACAAAGGAACGGAAATAAATGGGTGTTTGAATTTTCATGAATTTATTATTTTTTCGAGGTGTTAAGCTACCTACTGAGAACCCGAAACATCAAACTACAGCTGATTTGATTGTAATTTCAAAATTGCGAATGTCTGGAGGTATGATACCAAAAAGTAGGCTTACATTGAATAATTTTTGCTGGAATTTAAACTACCCACAAATAACCTGGAATATCAAACCAGATCTTGTGCTATCAAAAAATGTTGAAATGTGTGAAATTTGAAGAGAATCTAATGCTTATTGCGCATTTTATGAGAGTTTTTATTATTCAAAATGATGACCCGTTGTGCTGGGAGGTACCACAAATAGTGGAACGATATATCCGATCTTCACACCAGGTCTTGTGTTGATAGAAATATTCGGATGTGTGAAATTTGAAGAAAGTCGGATACCTATTTCGCATGTTATGAGAGTTATAATTATTCAAAATTTGGACCCGTTATGGAAGAGGTACCAGAAGTAGTGGACCGATATATCCCATCTTCATAGCAGGTTTTATGGTGATAGAAATAGTGGGCTGTGTAGAGTTTGAATGAAATTGGATGCTTATTTCGCGTTATATGAGCTTCATGGTTATTTAAAATATTGACCTCTTTGTGGGGGAGGTATCAGAAGGTATGGACTGATATCTATCACCTTCACACCAGATCTTGTGTTATCAAAAATGTTGAGATGTGTGAAATTTGATAAGTTTTAATTATTTTTAAAAGGTTTTAACTATTCAAAATTTTGACCCGTTGTGGGGGGGAGGTACCAGAAGTAGAGGACCGATGAATCCGATTTTCACACCAGGTCTTGTGTTTATAGAAATATTTAGATGTGTCGAGTTTGAAAATAGTCGGATGCTCATTTCATGAGCTTCGTGGATATTCGAAATGTTGACCCTTTTGTGGGGGAGATACCAGAAGGGTGGATCGATATTATCTTCGCACCAGATCTTGTGTTAATAGGAAATACAGGGATGTGTGAAATTTGAAGAGAATCGGATGCTAATTACACTTTGTCCATTTCGCACCCGACATAGCACTGTTACAAATGATGGGATCTCTAAATTTTGCCGAAAATTGGATGTTTTTTTGTTCTATACGCAAATTATTTTCTGTGAAAATTTTGATATTTTGTGGGGGAGGTACCAGAGGGAGTGGACTGATATTGCCCATCTCCAAACTCGGTCTAAGTTTGATAATAATATTGCGGTGTAACAAGTTAAGATCAAATCGGATACTCCCTTCGAGAGCTATCGTTCGCACCCACCAACTAGACAGACAGAGGGACGGACCCTAGATCAGCCCCAAATAAACTGAAAGGGATTTATTCCAAAGATCTAGGCTCTAAAAACGCGTTTTGGCCGTATCAAATGATATATATCCTCTGTAGCGCCATATGGCAATGAAGCGATATTCTAGTGAGAAACCTAGTTGAAATAATGTGTCAGGGAACATTTCGGTATGGAAAGGAATCAATGTTAAATATTATGACGTTATAAATAAAAAAAAAAAATATCAACCACCCACACCCGTTACAGAATTAAGGTGGATTTCTCAGATTCCTATTTGCGGAATAAATTCCACAAATTCGAATATGGGAATGGTTATTTTTTCTAGGAGCATTTTCTTCAAACGTCATTCTTGTAAATCAAATGAGTCTGCTGTTTTACCCCAAGAAGAGAAAGATAAGATATGAAAGAAAAACTTTTGTTCTCGGTTCGCCGGCATGGAGATTTGAACTTAAGACCTCAAAAACTGTTAAATATCTTCGCACAACCCGCTAGACAACTCAGCCACAGCATGGTTCGAACATGTTGTGTGCAAAATGACAATTCAAAAGGGAAGGTAAATAAACAAAACCAAACAACATGTTTGATGTATGAAATAAAGATCAGTCAAACAAGGTTGCCATCTACAAAAATAGTTTTTAGGGATTTATGGTTGGGGGATTTTCTTGGAAGTTGGGATAAAGTCAATAAAAAATCTCAAAAGTTGTTGTTTAAAATATTAAAATCTCAACCATTTTCCTGTGTGTTCGTCTCATCAATACTTTACACAACAACTCACTTGCTGGATGCAGGCTCGCCAAACTTGCGGCCTGTGATGCTGCCACCGCCATGGTATTCTGATGATGATGTCCAGCTGCTGCAGCAGCAGCAGCCGCTGCCATGGAATAACGATCATTGGCCGAACCACCACCACCTGGATTGGGTAATAAGCCAAGGCCAGCAGCTGCGGCGGCATTAAATTGTGCGTTAAATAGGGGGTTTGAAGCAGCTGCGGCAGCCGAAGCAGGATCACGACCCCAATATGCTGGAAAGAGAAAAGAGAGATATTATTATTAGTTATGTTTGTAAATATTGGAAAATAATATTTGACAAGGTCTACTTTTACAGAAAAATTGAACAAGGATCAAGGGTGGACTTCTATGATGAAATGGATATTTTAGGGAATGTTTGAGAAGGCAGTTTTAAGAGGAACATTAACCATGGTTTATTTAAGAATATTTTTAGTGACTATTAGGTAAGGACTTTCAGAGCCATAGATGTGAATTTTCGAATGTTTTTATGCCCTCCACCATTCTATGAAGGGTATATTAGCTTTGTCATTCCGTTTGTAACTCCTCGAAATATTCATGATAGACCCTACATTTCATGATTTTAGCGACATCATTTACTGGAATTATTTAAAATTTCGTATTTCGTGTTTGCAATGGGTACTACAGCCTATGACAAAAAATTTCGTATGCAGGTCCACGTCTTCGTATAGCCCCCATATAGCGGTACCTCCCGACATTCGGTATTTTGATGATTTCAGCAACATTATTCACCGGAATCGTTTCATATTTCGTATTTGAAATTCGTAATGGGTACTACAATCTATGGAAAAACTTTTCGTGTGCAGGTCCACGTCTTCGTATAACCGCTATATAAGAGTACCTCCCAGTATTCGGTATTTTGAAGATTTCAGCAACATTATTCGCCGGAATCGTGTCAAATTTCGAATTTGAAGTTCGTAATGGGTACTACAGCCTATGACAAAAAATTTTTTTTTCGAAATGGTGGAGAGTTTTAAAAGTTGGGGTCGGCTGTTTTACTCGTCCCATATTATTTTAAGCCCATAAAAAATCCACCATAATACATTTTATCCACTCACCAAATAAAGAAGCCGCATCTAGCAAAGCCGCCTGGTCATGGGCACCGCCAGCCCCGGTAGCTGAATTGCCACCAGAACCTTTGCCCCCACCACCGCCACCTTTACCACTGCCACCACCTCCGCCGCCGCCTCCACCACCACCGCTACCTCCATCATTTTGTTGTTGTCCACCCTCACCCGCATTTTTATCCATGTTTTTCATGAACGTATGGGGGTCAAAGGGTCTATTGTTGCGTTTAATTTTGTGGCTTTTATTTTAACCGAATCAAAAAGAAAATGGAACGCCTCACTTTGGATGCGTTGACGACGTTTATACTACGGTCGCTATCAACTACAAGGAGTAGGAGGAGTAGGGCGAGTTTTATTGACTCATTTGTAATGATGAAACTCATTTCAGGCTTGCTGTGCCATCTTCACCATGTTGTTGTAAGTGATCTGAAATGGAAAAAAACATAAAAATTGGAATTTAGTTAATTATTTATAAAAAAATAAGAAACTTTATTCAATTTTGAACTGTTTTTGAAATGGGCCACATTGCTTTTATTACAAATATTATTTTAACTATAATAATTACTTTCAAAATAGAAATAAAACGGTGCCTAATTCGAACATATTATGTCTTTTTTATCATTTGCAAAAAAAAATCATTAATTTTAAGTTTTTTTTCTGTTATAAAGTTGATCGATAATTCAAATTTGTTGAGAGGTGAATTATTTGTTGAATCTCGTTACATCGTTATTATTTTCCTACTGGTTGTTAAGGAAGTTTAAATGTTGATTTAAACAGCGTTATTTTTTAAAATTCTGTACCATGGTATACAGTGAACGGGTAAAGCTAAAATTTTTTTCGGTCGGATTTGGGGAGGTATTGGCCATTTGGTGCACAATTAACCCGAAATCTGTTGAAGATATATATGGGAGCTATATCCAAATCTGAACCGATCTTTATACAATTTGGCAGAGGTATTTCCGAGCTCTATAAAATATTTGGTACCAAGTATCATTGATGTCCAATGGATATGAAACACATATGGGGGTATTTACTCAAAATTTGATGTACCTGCTTCTAGACTGAATTCGGTCGGATGTACAAAAACGCAGGTCTTTTGAGAAAGATATCGGGCATTTCGTGCACAATTAACCCGAAATCGGTTGAAGATATGTGGGAGCTATATTCAAATCTGAACCGAACTTGATAAAATCTGGCAGAGATATTTTAGGGATGTATCTGATATCTGGTACCAGATGTGCGCTTTACGTTTATTAACAATTTCCACCCTTTGTGGGGTAAGTACCAGAACGAGTGGTCCTTTCTACCCTAGTTCCATAACAGATCTTGAATAGTCAAAAATATTTGGATATTCAGGGTTGGGTATATTGCACTAATTTTTTAGTGCACTAAGAATTAAATAGTTAGTGGTAGTGCTTTTAAAATTACATTGAAAAAATCGCCTAAAAAAAATTCCACGATTATATCTCTGTAGGTCCTTGAAAAAATCTTTTTTAAAAAATCAACAAATATAACTATGCAGATCCTTCAAAAATATCTTTTTTTAAAAATCCACGATTATTGCTCTGTAGATCCTTGAAAAAATCCCTGAAAAAAATCTTCTTAAAAAAAAAACACCATTATTGCCCTGTAGATCCTTGAAAAAATCTTCTTAAAAAAACCACCATTATTGCTCTGAATACCCTTGAAAAAATCTTCTTTAAAAAATCCACGATTATTGCACTGTAACCCTTGAAAAAAATCGACCATTGCTCTGTAGATCCTTGAAAAATTTTTCTTTAAAAAATCCACGATTATTGCTCTGTAGATCCTTGAAAAAATCTTCTTTAAAAAATCCACGATTATTGCTCTGTAGATCCTTGAAAAAATCTTCTTTAAAAAATCCACGATTATTGCACGGTAGACCCTTGAAAAAATCTCTCATTAAGAAATCAGCTATTATTGCTCCCTAGATCCTTCAAAAAATCTTTTTTAAAAATTTACGATTATTTCTCTGTAGATCCTCGAAAAAATCTTCTTCAAAAAATCCACGATTATAGGTCCTTGAAAAAAAAACACGATTATTGCTCTGTAGATGCTTGAAAAATCTTCTTTAAAAAAACCACGATTATTGCTCTGTAGATCCTTGAAAAAAAAAAAACTTCTTTAAAAACCCCAAGATTATTGTTCTGTAGACCCTTGAAAAAATCTTCTTTAAAAAATCCATGATTATTGCTCTGTAGACCCTTGAAAAAATCTTTTTTAAAAAATCCACGATTATTGTTCTGTAGGTCCTTAAAAAATCTTCTTTAAAAAATCCACGATTACTCCTCTGTAGACATTTGAAAAAAATCTTCTTTAAAAAATCCACGATTATTGTTCTGTAGGTCCTTAAAAAAATCTTCTTTAAAAAATCCACGATTACTCCTCTGTAGACATTTGAAAAAATCTTCTTTAAAAAATCCACGATTATTGCTCTGAAGACCCTAAAAAAATCTTCTTTAAAAAATCCACGATTATTGCTCTGAAGACCCTTGAAAAAATCTTCTTTAAAAAATTCACCAGTATTGATCTTTAGGTCCTTGAAAAAATCTCCTGGAAAAAATCTTCTTTAATCCTTGAAAAAATCTTTTCTTGGCGAAATTTTACACAAGGATAGCTGGAATTATATTCGAAGCTATTTTAAGTTTCTTTATACACTCAGCCATATAGAGATTGTATATATCACTTGATACGGTAAAAACGTGCCTAGTCGAAATAACGGTCTTAGACCCTAGGTGTCTTTGGACCAAATCCGTTTCAGGACATTTGGAGTCGATCTAGCGATGTCTGTCCGTCCAATATTTATGTTAACCTAAGGTCTGGTGTTAAGATGGAATATATCGGTCCACTCCTTCTGGTACCTCGTCCACAAAATGTCAAAATTTTCAAAAAAAAAAAAAATGTATTTTCTGCACAGAAAGAGAAAAGATAATCCGATTTCACCCCAACTTTGCAAATCCTTTGGAAAGGAAGTTGACGATATAGTCCAAACCTCGCACATCGCAATATTTATATCATATTTATTTATGTCCGATACAAAATGGACAATATTGACCCACTTCTTTGGAACATATTCCATAGAGGGTCACCAATTTGAATAATCATAACAGAAGTAAAAATATACTGAAATAATCGAACATTGGGTGAGAGTATACTTCTGTCGGCAAAACCGACTGATACTTTTTAACTTGTTTTAATTTAGTTATAAACATTCTAATTTATTTTAGTTTAAATATAAATAATGTCTACTACTGGGACATGGCGAACATAGGTGGACTTCATCTATGCCCTTGAAATTACCCATGTTTTGTTAATCTTGCACTCTTTTTAACTTAATAGTTCCATTTTTTATCGCTTCTGACTTTTTTGGTGGGAAAATATTTTCACATAAAACTGCAATTCGTTTTGCCCTTAAAAAATAAACCGGTTAACCACAATTTGCAATATCTACTTATGCATCAATGCAATGCAACAACATCAAAATTCATTTCAAAGTCCCCCACTCTCAAACATGTTGCATGTTCGAACATACAATGCAAAAATCATTTTCTCTCTCTCTCTTGCTCTCAGTTCTCCCATTTTTCTCTACTACATAAAACTTAACGAAAGAGCGGCAGTAAATATTTAATTACAAACAAACAAAAAACAACTTCGAACAAAACAAAACGAATAAAACAGAAAAACAAATGTCAAAACGACGACGACAACAAAGTGGAAATGTCAAAACAAAGTAGCAGAGAAGGAAACAAAGCAAGTAAATAGCATATAAAATCCGACATAAAACAAAAACGTCAAAAAATACAACAGATAAAAGAAAACAGAAGACGAAAAAGCAGAGAGAGAGGAGGAATAGCGTTTTTTCGTTTGCACTCAAACAAACACTCACACACATTGGAAACCCCACCACCACACAATAAAAAAATATGTACCCTCAACAATAACAGGAGAGCAATGCATTTGAAAATTGTACGGCAGAGGGCAGAGAAAAATGAAGCAGCAGCAGCAGAATGGGGAGCAAAGGGAAAAATTAAAAACTAAACTATCTAATGACTGACTGCCTGAATGGCTGTGTGTAAGCATTATTTGAGACAATGCGAGCCAGCGATGGGATATTCATTCGGTCATCGGCGTCATGGATGATGCCGACTTAGCTGCCATGCCATCGGCGCCGTCACCGTCGTTTTCGTGTTTTGTTGGTGTTTGTTGTAGTCGCTCGGTCGGTATACAACAAATGAGAAAATTGGTCAATTAATTTGCCTAAAGGTTTATTTATGACTTTACGTTGTTGTTTCTGGCACTTGAGATTTTTGTTTTTTATTTTTTGTGTTTTTTTATTGTTGCTGCTCTGCTCTGCCATTATCGTTGTTGTAGTCTTATTGTTTTAGTTTGTTTTAGCTCGCTGTTATTGTTGTAATATTGTTTTTGTTTCTTCCCCCTCCTGCCAGCAGAGTGTGTGAATAAATAATGACACTTAAATGGAAAAGTTGTAATTGTAATTAAGGAATGACAACTTATGGTTAATTTTAATGCAATGATTCATTGATAATTATTTTAGTTCTCATTTATTTTTTTAGCTTGGCTTTGTTGTTTTATTGTTGGGCATATAAAAATAGGTACCTACATACAAACATGGGATTAATTGACAATGGAAATTTCTCACAGTAAATGTTAAGCCTTCTAATTTGGGGGGAAATTTTAATGACTGCACTAAAATGGGTTTCAAGAAAAAGATAGGAAAGTGGGGGATTCTAAAACTGTATCCCAAAACGGTTTTTTTTTAAAAATTTGACCTTATTATTATTTATGTTTAGCAATGGAGTTGGGTAGTGTAGGATCACGGCTTGGCGAATACAAACTTTCAATTATATCGATATTAAGTTATAATGCTTCGATATTTTGTGTAGTTGTATATGAGTTAAATGTACAGGGTAAGATGAAAAAACTGCAACCAACATCAGACTGCTGTCATGTCTAAGCCACTCATCAGACAGTTGTTAAAATTATTCCAGTGACAGCTCATTATATTGTTTACAAGCGTACAAAAGTAATTTGGTGAGAATTTTCTAGAAAAAAAGTTATTCGTGATGGAATTTAAGCGTAATAGTGTGATTTCTTTATATTTGGCTGGAAAACCACAAGTGGCTATCGTTAGTGCACTCCAGCATTTAGATGTGAATACATTTTTTGTGTCTCGTACCATCGCTCATTACCCTGATACTGGTAGCGCAGACCGACGTCAAGGAAGTGGGCAAAAGAAAACAGCAACATCAGCAGAAATGGTTCGAAAAGTAAAGAAGCGTCTTAATAGAAACCCGCGTCGCAGTGGCCGAAAAATGGCTAGTGAGCTGAACATATCGCAATATTCTATTCGGCAAATATTGAAAAATGAGCTCGTGGTAAAGCCA